TACATCGGGAAGAATCCGCGTGTTTCGAGCGTTATCCGTTCTTTCATAATCTGTAGTCGAATTGTGATCAGCAGAAGCTTTTCCGGTTCGGGCCTCACTTTTTTTCACAGCAGCGGCCCAAAACTATCTCCTAACACATGGATTTTCTGCTTTCAGCTCACGTGACGTGTGACGTACGTGCAGATCAGCGGTGTGGGGGCTTGTTCCCACACCCGCCCAGTTAAAAAATGCAAATGATGACTTCAGTAATCAATGGCAGCGAGCGTTTGGATTTAAAATGACTAGTCATCAATGGTAGTAAATGAGTTAAATTAGCTGGCAGACAAAAAGGTATGTTTTGTGGATTATACATTCACATTTAAAGCACCTGATGGATAGACCAGAGCTGTGGGTAAAAACTAGATGCTAACCTCTTGAATCTGCGGCCAGTGTGAATCTGCAGTCTCCTGGTCTGCAGCTGTGTATTATTGTGGAATTCACAGGAGCAGAGGTGGGGTATGATCTAATCCGAGGATCTCATTCCCGGGTAGAAGGAATGGCACACAAAAATAAATTATATTTCATAAACCAAAATCACATCTCAATAGTGCCGACGGGAGTATTTTATAATTTATTCAGCCTGCCGTTGCTCTGGAGGGTGTAACGTAGCATGACACTGGTCCTTCAACAAAACATTTTACTGAAAAAGAATAGTTTTTTCTGCTAGACTATGCTTTTAAATAACAAACACAGACATGGTGAAGGAAGAAAAGGGTGAAAACACCAAACTAACCCCAATATTCTTTATATTTATATCAATTTAAGGTGAGTTCGGTGGAGGAATGGGACAAAACTACATCAGCAATGATGGTTTTTGCGTATTGTCCCATGTTTTTATGTTTTTGGATTTCAGCCCTGACCTTATTCTTTCTATTTTTGAAAATAAATATGCATTTACGTTTTTATTGAGCTGTCATTAACAAGTTTGAACCGATAACAGGGAACGCTTTATTTTACAGATTCTTTTGATTTTCCAGGCCAATTTCATACGCAGCAACTTAAAGGAAAATCCAGGAGCAGAACAGCGAGTCCCAGCTTCAACATCTGCATACTAGTCATAGTTACAGAAGGTTGTTGAGGTGAAGAATTCAGAGGGTCACCACAAGAGACGTTATTGCATGTATACACAGCTAAAAAGCAGCAACTATTACCTTTCAGGCATTTTCAGGGTGATTTTTAGGGGGTAAATGAATTGCTCCCAGATTCCTGATCTTTAATTTTATCCATGTGGACCAAATTACGTGGAGAAGATGAATCAAACCACCTGCAGACCACAACTCAGGGTTCAAAACCCACCTTCACAGAATAGTTTTCAATAAAAGGACGGAAACAGGTCATACTATAAACATTTTCATGGATGTAGTCAGCTATCAGAGACGCATTCATCCCCTTATGACTCATGAATACTCAGTAAACAGCATAGATGTGTTTTAATCAGCTGTTTTTTATATAGATGCCTTCAGAAGGTCAGGTGAAGATCAGAATCAGGAACTGCAGCGGGATCGGCTCAAGCAGTGATGATGGGATCGGCTCAAATTTTAAAAATCTGTTTTTTCTGGGTCCCTGAACTCACCGCTGCTAAGCACAAGCTCAGACAATAACAGCAGAGTTTTATTTTCAAGAATCGGGATTTTCAGGTTAATCATAAATTAGAAAAAACATAATGAATCGTGTTTTTTATATTTCATGGCGATACATGGGGCTTAGCTTAGATCAGAATCAGCGGGTCAGAAGCGTACGTTAATCCACAGTCAGCATCGACTGCTGGCAGCAGAATCGGTGCATCTCTTGCGTTTTTTTGGTTTTTGTCTCATCTGAAAAGAAAAACTTTGGTTTCAGAGATGAGAATAAAGATAATCTGAAATAACAAGATTTCAGATAAAACAACAGCAAACCTCAAATCCTCCCGCAGGCTGCTGAAACAACAAACCTCTATCGGCTCTAACTCTGCATTTCCTCATCACGCTCTCCCTCACAAACGCCCATCTCCTTAGTCACCCCTGCTGAAGAGCAGGACCAGTCCTCTTCTGCAGGTCTTCGGTCGTCCCAAAGACACACTACTCTTTGTTTCTCGCAACCTTAAAAACAAACTTAGCTTTTCCAGCCATGTATTTTTCTGCAGATGAAACCCTCTCCTGCAGCTCTCCTCCCTTTGGTAGAGACTCAGTCGCCTTCCTCCGGGAATCACCTGCTGCCTTTTTGCTGCAACCCAACACTTCTGAGGTGCAGGTCCTAGATGTTCTCAACTCAACTCAACTTTAGTTATAAGTCACGCCTTACAGGCAAAAAGATGCCACCAAGGTGCTACACTGATCAAATAAAAACAGTAAGTCCAGAAAATAAAACATCGTATCAAACGATACAGATAAAAAATACAATGAGTAAAATCGCTATAAGTAAAACAATAAAACTAGTTAGAAAGGTTAAAAGACAGGTCATAAAAATATGTTTTTAGCCTTGCCTTAAAAACCGCAACAGAGGTGGAGGCCCTTATGCTGAGAGGAAGCTTATTCCAAAGCTTAGGACCTGCCACAGCAAAGGCCCTATCACCACGCGTCTTTAGACGTGTTCTTGGGACCGAGAGGAGCATGAAGTTCTCCGAGCGGAGTGACCGTGAAGGGGTGTATGGCTGAAGTAGTGACACCAAGTAAGGAGGGGCCAAACCATTTAACGTTTTAAAAACTAGTAAAAGTATTTTAAAATGAATCCTAACATCAACGGGCAGCCAGTGAAGCGCAGCCAGGACAGGAGTTATGTGGTCAAACTTGCGCCTGCCCTCTAAACATCTGGAAGCAGCATTCTGGACCATTTGCAACCTGGCTATTGAGTCCTTGCTCACACCGAATGGAACAGAGTTGCAGTAGTCCAATCGCACCGTAATAAAAGCATGGACCACCGTCTCAAGATCATGACGTGACAAAAACGGTTTGATCTTTGCCAGCCGACGAAGGTGGAAAAAGGAGGAGGAGATCACTCCATTGATGTGGGTATCAAAACTAAGGGCGCTATCCAGTTTAACACAGTGGCGTGTCCAGATCTTTTAAACTGGGGTGGCCTAGGTGAGGCACAACTTTGTGCATGGGTGGCACCAATGGTAATGCTTTTTTGTTTTACCCCCAAGCCTTTTGTGGACAATGAAAAGCAGGTAAATTAGTGTGGTGGCACCTGGGGTGGCCAATTAGATTCCAAGGGTGGCATGTGCTACCCCAGGCCACTCCCTGGACACGCCCCTGGTTTAACACCAAGATTAGTCACTGATGCAGTCAGCTGGCCATTAAATGACCCACAGTCAGTTAGGGAAGAGTCACAATGTATGCTTGGAGCAAACAATATGGCCTCTGTTTTCTGATCATTTAGGCTCAGAAAATTTCCAGTCATCCAGGTCTTGATCTCCCTCAAACAGTTTGTAAGAAATAGAGAGACCACTTGACGTGTTCAGAGGCAGGTACAGCTGACAATCGTCTACACGTCCAATTCATCAGATTAGAAGCTCAGAGTCAATAAAGAGCTCCTTGCAGGTCAGATCAGGAAAGTCAAAGCAAACTGAAACAAATCTGCATCTTCTGGAGACATTTGTGGACTGTTTTCTATTGTTTTCCAAGAATTTTGGGGGCCAAATTCATCTTCAAACATCAAGCCTGTCCCCAAACAAAGAAGCACCATCTCCAAGTCTGAGGAGCAGAGATGTCACTCAGATTTCAGGTTTTTATTGCTGAGATGCTCCTCGGATCAGATCACATTTTGTGTTTTACTTGGAGAAAAATCAAAGGACGTGTTTAACTTTTAAACTTTCACATCAGGAGAAACGGCGATGAAAGTGCTGTTTTGGGGCATTTTTTGATCATTCAAGGCGTTTCGGGTTCTGATATAATGCAAAATGATGTAAATGTGTTAATATGAGTGTAATAACACTGCATATAAATATTTATTTCTTTATTAAGATGTCTCTATGTTTTTGTTGTGCTCAGTGAAGGTTTTGATAAGACAAAAAGATCAAGGTTTTCTCTAACAACCTGCCAGGTTCTCAAAACAAATGTTATGATTTCCACTTTTAAATGAACATAAATGAACATTTGTAAAGATTTACAGCAAAAGTCATAAAACCCCCAGTCTGCTACAACTCAGAGCTGCAGGAACAAACCCTCCAGCAGCAGCAGCGGCTGTCACACACACCAGCAACAGAGTTTTAGGCCTTTCTGTTTTCTCTCCCTCTCCTCTCAGATGTCTCTGCTGTCGTTGGGAAATCCAACTAGGACTAAAAACACAAACTGAAAGAAATAAACGTGTTTTTCAGAGTAAATTGTAAATTTAACTTTCTTTTTCCCTTTTTAAGAGCGAATAATTTCCTCCGTCTGCGTCTGTTAAACAGATAAAATAAGTTATTAGATTTTTTTTCACAGAATCAGAAACAGAAGCCACACAGTTAATAATATAGTAATTTCCAGTTAACATAGAAAACGTGTATTTTTTACTTTTGTTTATTTTTCAGCTATTCCTGGTTTATTTGCTTGAAAAAGAATAAAAATGTTATGAGGTATTTTACAAAGTTGTCATTTAATCTCCTACAAATAACTTTAAAGTTATTCTAACAATTTCTCATATATTAAAATACTGTCTGATGTTTTCGTTCATTTCGTTCTCAGTGGTTATGACGAAATAAAAGAAAAGGTTGTTTATCTGTTTATCTAACAAATAAGAATGTTTGTGGAGTCGGTGGTCCCGTTTGAAGCCTTTCAATGGCGCATTTATCAACTTAAAGAAGGATTTTTCTGTTTCGTGAGATTTTTGTGCAGTTTGATGGGAAATAATTTCATTTTAAATTCTGCTTTAAAGTTGTTATTATTATTATTATTATTATTATTATTATTATTATTATTATTATTATGCCTTTTTCCTTCACCCTATGGCCAAGAATAAAACGCGCGCGCGGCGCTGCTGGACCGTTTGGCGCGTGCACTTACCGACGCACTCGTTGGCCTCGCGCGCGGTGGCCCTCTGCCACGGTCTGTCGTAGTGAAACGGTTTGCACCTGTCGCACTCTGGTCCGGCCGTGTTGTGCTTGCAGTCACAGACCAGACTCCCGTCGCGGTCCTTCACGCACCGGGACGCGTGCCCGTTGCACTTGCACCGCCCGCCGACCTGAAGGTCCGACGCGGAGTAGAAGTAGGAGTCCCGCGCCAGCTCCGAGTCGTCCTCGTTCTCGTCCCCGAAGGTGTGCAGGCGGCTGAAGATGACCTTGATGTCCGTGGCCGTGACCCAGTCCTGCAGCACCGGGGAGCTGTCGAAGTCGTGCGCGGACGGGCGTCCGTCCAGCGTGCTGAAAGCGATGAGGCCGCCGGTGAGCGGGTGCATGTCGGTGTGGGAGTCCGTGCACACGGCCTCCTGCTCGTTCTGCTTGGTGATCGCCGCCCTGTTGGGCTTGTTGTACATCTTCCTGCACTGGGTCGAGTAGAACTGAAACGGAACCCAGGTCTTGCCGTAGTCCATGGACTTGTAGATGACCATGGACTCCGGACGCGGGGAGCAGAACTGCAGGCTCACGTAGGTCACCTCAAACTTCTTCCCTAGGGACAGAGTCAGGGTGACGTTCTGCGGGAACTGGAGGAAGTTCTCGGACTGCCAGCAGGTGAGGTTGTGCGGGTTGTTGAGGTCCGTCAGGTACGCCGGCGGGTGGTTCTTCTTCGGGTCGGACGCGTCGCACGTGTGACAGTTCCTGGTCCGCTCGTCGCCCTTCTCCGCGGAGCTCACCACGCAGTAGCGGCTCGGCGTCCTGCCGCAGCTGCTGGACACCCTCACCTCCTTCCCGAAGGCGGCGTTGACGAAGTCCGGGATGCAGCGCCGCGGGTTGCCGTGCTCGTCGTTGCAGGGGTCCGGGGGGGAGGTCTGCGCCGCGAACAGGCTCACCCCGTAGCCGCCGAGCGCGCTCCGGGACAGAGACGCAGCGAGCAGCACCAGCAGCGGGACGTCCACAGCCCTCATCCTGGTGGGTCCCGGGGAGTCTGGAGGGGGGACACGGTGTGAGCAGAAGTCAGGACCTTCCACCATGCAGACATTTAACAAATGTCAGAAATAAAAATTAATAAATCAGCACCTTACCTGGGAATAATTTAGAAATCTTGGAAGAGAGATCACTGATCTGGAATCAGTGGATCTGGAATCTGATCTGTTTGCTTCCTGAAAATTCTGCCTTCAAGTCAGGCTGGACCTGAGAGACGCCCGAGTCCTTCTCACTGGTCCCACTCCTCCTGCCGGGCTCTTCTAAGCCCCTCTCTCTCCCCCCACTGCTTTCTTCCACTCTCCCATCCTGCTCGGTGGTGCATGAGGTCAGCTCTTCCCGGGTCCGCGCGCGCGCGCGTGTGGGGGGGGGGAACCACTGATGGTCAATCAGAAGCGAGAGGAGACAACAGCTTGTCCAGCTGAGAGGACGCTCATCAGCAAGCTTCTGTTTGAGGAGACCAAAAACGATCAGAGGAGAAAAGGTTGAACAGAGAGGATCGGATGTTTCAGAGAGCTGGAGTCGCTCAGATAAAAAAAAACACAATCATGTCTCTGATCATTTTCCTGAAATGGAAAATAAATAATTCACTCTGGTTTTGCGCCTTCCATCCGCCCTGTTACCTGTTGCTGCTCCCTGAGAAACAGCGCCATCTTTTGGCCATAAGGCGTTAATTCAGGCTGCAGGGTGAGAAGCGTGTGTTTTGGACAAACCAGCTGGGGGAGGCACAGCACGCCTTTTAAACACCATCAGCTGCTTTTGAGTGTCTAAACGTTAACCGGGAGTTTTAACGCAGAGCTCGTCTTTCCTCTCAGCCTCACAACCATGCCTGCATTCGATGGATTTCTTTAAACTTTACCCAGATTTGATCATTTGATAGATTTTTTCACATCTTCATGAAGACGTTCATGCTGTTAAACCAAGAAACTTGGATCTATTTTGGACCATTCTGAGGAATAATCCCAGATTAGAATGACCACTCTGCTGCTTATGCAGCCTGCTTGAACAAATGAAGTCTGGTCATCATTTATGAACTTCTGCATTCACTGGTACTTCTCTTTGCACAATGAAAACCAAATGACAAGACCCGGTCCGTTTTCAGGAAACATTACACGCGTAAAAGTAAACCTACAGCAATCAGGAATCAACTGTAAAAAGAACATTTAGTACTTTGAATTTATTCTCACAGCTCAGAAACCTGCATCTTATTCACACATTCCCTTTGACTATCCACATTTTACCCTTAATCTTGGTTCAGCACTGTCAGAATTATTGTTCTGGGTGTTTTTTCAGTTTTATTCTCATGGTGTTTCAGGACCATTTCCTCTCATTTGTGGTCCGTTTGGATCACGTTTCTGCAAAACCAGACACGTGCAGACACACAGAAAAACCCAAACGGAACTATATCCATTCAGATGTTTATTTTGTAAAATAAATACACGTATATACACATAGGCAGTAAGCTA